TTGATATCGCTGAGTTCTGTTACAAAAGAGGCTGTTTGATTTCTGATTTGAGAATTAAATCTAGCAATGCAGAAGATAAAACACATTTCACAGATACATTACAGTAAATATATAAATGTTTGGACAGGGCCAGATTTATGGCTATGGACTTTTAGATATAAAATGAACAAAGAAACAAAATGTGTTAAAAATATTCCCACGAGGAATGAAGCTAGTTCTTCTTCGCTTATTTTCAGTAAGATCAGACAGGTTTATTTAGATTCAATAAAAATAACAGGTTTATTTTTACCCAGCCTCGGCCCTTCTCTCGTGAGTGGCAGACGTAAATGATGTCAGTGTATATGACTAACCAGTAAAAATAAGGTAGATATTTTTGTACAGGCTATGTAATGTCCTACTAATACAAGACCATTTTGTTTAGTTTACATTTGCTTTGGACCTGGTCCATTCACAGCTTTCTCTGAGCAATCTCCTCATATCATAAACTTTGAGGTATTGTCAGTCATGCAGTTTTGATCAACTGCTTACAGCTAGACACACCTACTTAACTGCTGGTGTCCTGTAACAGTAAGAAAGGATCCTAAAAATGTATTTTATAACTACAAAGTGCAGGCAGAGGACAGAGGACCCCTTGTGCTTTTGCTTTTGGCTGGAGATTACTGGGCTCACACCAAACGAAGGGAAAAGTCTTCCTAATTTGTTTCATTGTCACATCAGCTAAGTGTCTCTAAACCACCTCTGTCTTCCAAGGAAAGTTAAGTAATTTGCTCATGAACAGACTGCAGAGTCAGGGGAAGAGTTTGGGAACAGAACCCAGTTCTTCCAGGCATCTCTTCCTGGCAGCAACATGTTTCACCTCCCATCAAATTATTCAGAATCACTCAGTCAAATGAGTTTTAGAAAGAAAGAAAGAAAGAAAGAAAGAAAGAAAGAAAGCTAACAGACTCATCTTCATCTGATGAAAGCACTTTTCACCAGGAGTTTAGGAATTCATCTCTCTCTGTGTCCCATCTTACTCCACCAAGTTAAAAAAAAAAAAAAACACATAAAAACATTTCCCAACTAATTCCTTTCTCTATTATGCTGTTCTAGATTTTTGTCCCTGTGCTAAATGTCTGGCTACATCTTTACTGTGATTATTCTCACGGGATATAAAGAGATGAGACTCCCCCAGGGTCAGACTGAACACAGGTCCGAATCCCAGGGTGAATCCCAATATATGTTTGAATCCTCCTGAAGAATCCAAGAGGCCAGTACATGAGCGTCACTCTTTTATACAGAACAGCCGTAATCAGGTTGGCAGACGAATGGGGCTAAGGGGTTTTTCATTTTTTAAATGTGGACCTAGGGTGTTTCCAAAGTGAGGAAAGAACGAACTCCATGGGGGATTAGGTGTTCTTTCATTTCCTCCAAACACTGCATACAGTGAGTTCCTAAACTTTAAACAGGCAGGTATAGCCCCAGAAAATCAAAACCTCAGTGCTAACTGGATCACGGTCCTGCGAGGCAAGTCTCAAGAGACCTTCCTTGCAGCCAGCGGTTCTGGCACTCACCTAGCATATACGAAATACTGAGGCTTAGAAGAGCTCCAAAGCCTGTGCTTTTGGAGGATGGAGAGGGAGTCTTATCAATCTCTCCCACTGCTGCTATTTTCATTCTGTATAAATAAATACATTTGCACTGAAACAAGGATGTGAATCCAGGTTCAAGCTCCTGTTCCAATGAATGAAATCCTATAAGAATATGCAAGAGGTCTGAGCAGGGGATCCAGATTGCTATTCTCTTTTTTATGTCAGTGAGACTACACTATTTGCTTTGAGGGGAAACACTTATTGTTTTGGGTTGGGGTTTTTGTTTTTGTTTTTTTTTTTGAAATGAACCTGGATTTTTGGCAAACATGTAAGTTTGAATGGCTTCCTCAATATTGTCCTCAATTTGAGACCTTTTTAAAGCATCACTGGCTTTTTACCTAACATCTTTGAATTTTTAAATGACCTTGATACTTTCCTTCTGACATTTTTTTTGTGACACCTGAGGAGCCACTGACATGGTAACACAAAATAAGATCTGATCATGTTCTGAAAGCTTTTGCTTGGATAAACAATGAAAGTCTATGGCATGCTGTCCCAGCCCTCCTGTGTAAACAGCCTTAATTTACTCTCTGCAAGATTTCATCCTAAGTGGTAGCAGTAGCTATCGCTATGTGCATTTTTTTCTTTGTCCAGATTAGTTTTTCTAAAGTAAGACCGAGATGTATAAACATTTCTCACTAGACTTTACTGCACCAAAATTCTATCAAGCGCTCTAAAACAAGTACATCTGCAAATACTAGATCCGTGCCAGATTTTAAATCAGTGTGCAAGTTATATATGTGGAAAAAAAAAATCATACGTGTAGGAATAACCTGATTTTGGATGGTGACATCCCTTTTGCTAACAAAAATAACTAATTTGTAGCCAGGTTCAGTAAACAGAGGTTTTCCTACAAATGAAGATGCAAAACTCACAGACCAGGTAAGATCTTCTCTTCTATTTCAGCTTTTTGACATTCATTTGTCAGTGTTTCCCACAGAAATCACTGGTCTCGAGTTCTGATCATACTGCTGTAAGGAGATTTGAAAAGTGGACTAATCTATTCTTCTTCCAGTTACCACGACAGTAACTTAGAACCTGAACTAATTTTTTTGGTATCTTAAACTCTTCAATGAAATGTAAATCCCTTGTTCTTTGGACGTTTGGGAATATAATAGTCTCAAATTCTATTCTGACATGCAGGCTAGTAATACATCTCCCTACAAACTTCAGCATCTCAAGCAATCTGTTATACCATTCCCTCCTTTGTCAGGGGAAATATATTCTGCCTATGTCTTTCTCCAGAACTGCCTGGGGTCTCTACTGTTTTATCCTGGTGACACGATAAGGTCTACACTGACCTTGTATCCCCTACGTAACCAAAAAATATTGCTTCACCTTCAAACCCAACAGCTCCATAGAACACAATCGTCTAGGGATACAATGTCCCCCATAGATCTGATGATGGTCCTCAACTACAGTCATTCTTTATCTATCAGTTGGCACCTACCAGAACCCTTTTAAATCATACAACGTAGAAAGCCATTTAGTATCACCTAAGCCCCCAAAATTTCACCGTTTGTAGGTACTGGCAATTCTTCTTGGTGTTGTTAAATTCTTTGGAGTTTATGCAAGAGCAAAGACTTCCATCTGTTTTGGGGGTGTTTTTAAGTTCACTGTTTTTATTATCATTTACTTTGCACTGCAGGCAACATTTCTTTCTCATTTTCTTTTAATACACTGACATTCAGCTTTCTCAATTGTTTTCATCCTCCACCCTTTCAGTGAGGAAAAACTCCATACAAGAGCCCAGGCCTTCATACTTTAACCCAAAAGCCAGTATGCTTTTGTAAAACTATAAAAAGATCACATTTGCTTTCAATTTGCTTTACATCTCGCATGACAACTCTTCATAATGTAACTTTACCATTCTTCTGACACTTGAAGGTTTTTGTGAAGTGATACTATCCATTACTTCTCTTTAAGATTTATTTTCACATACTGGATGCTTGCACAGCTGATTCTCAAACCATGCAAAGCTCTGTGTTGTCAGACCCTGACCGTGAGTTCTGCTATTTACAATTTTCATTTTATTTGATACTTGGCATTCCCAAGAAATTCTGCAACCTCAGAACCTTGCTTGCCTCCTACTAATTTTACTCTAGTCTAGCGAACTTCGATTACTTAGTAAATTTTAAATGTTTTCTTCAAGTGTTCATTGTGCACTGTTTTCTTTAGATGATAATCACTGCTTCCTGTCTGATCAGGGCTCAGTCTCCCAGAATTGTACAATTATTTTTTCAGCCCTGCAGCAATCACTGCCTCTTCTAAGTTTTACCTTCCTCATTCATCTTGTGTTTAAAATGAATCTTGCATATGTTTCAACTTTAAGTACAGCATTCTGTGACTTTCTGTACTACACCTTCGGAATGCTTGAGTTAGAGAAACTATTAAAACCCACAAACGCTTCAGAATCAGCCACGGCCAAAAGTACAGCTACCTAATAATGACTCCCCATTGTTGCCACCTATTGTTTGCAGAGTTGGCAGGAGGAGCTATTTGAACTTGTCCATTTTTAAGATAAATAGTTTCAGTTGTGGGGGAGTTTTCATCTGTTAAACAATTTTATTTAGAGTGCTGAATTTACTCCTTTTCATTGTCTTTCTATAACTGGGATTTAGCTTGTATGAGCAGAAATGAGAAACCATGACCAGTTTTAACTGGATGTGCAAAACCGCAGCTGGAACTGCGTAAAAACCCGCTCAGCCCGTTAGGAAGGTTCAAGCCTGAAAGACATCTCCCGCTCTCTCATCTAGATGTACTTACTGTCTTCAAAGTAATAACACAAAGTTTGACCTTGATTTTAACATATTCTTGGTTATAAAGTGCACCAGTGGCCAGAAATTTTCCACTGTACACCACTGTACACCACTGTATTTTCTCCTCAAAATATTTTTAGTAGTCTCCACCTACCTACTTGCCCTAAATTTCACAAGGGGTCTTTTTCTGTTTAACCAGTAAGTTGTTCCTTGACACAAGAGCCTGAAACAGATTTGACCATAGCAGTGTTTTCCTCCTGAGCTGCTTAGACGGCTGACATGTTTACAGCCTTTTTAAAGCTCTGGAGTTGTCCTTCTATAGTGACTGCAAAAGCAAACTACAGGCTCTGGGTAGAAGACAATGCTACTGTTACTGCATGTATTTTAAAATTTTAGTGTTATTTTGAAATCAGGTAAAATACTACCTGAATATACTTTAGCTGCAAAATAGAACTAGGAGCAAAATATTCTGCAATGGAACAAATGCATAAAAGCACTTCTACTGAACATATAAAACAGACTTTCCCTTTCCTAAAATAGGAGATAATTTTAAAATGAAATTTCTCTCTAGCAGAAGAAAATGGTTATTCAAAATTAATTTTGTACTCACCTTTTACTCTGTCTCCTTTGTGCAGATGAATTTCCCCTTCTCCTTGAGGTTGATATGGCTTTACGACAATAAAAAGTCTTCCAGGTACAGCACTGTAAAGTTTGCGTTTTGGACCCTGATAATCCAAGACAGAGAGAGTATCCTTGTTGGCACTAGGACTGTAACCGGCACTGGAAATTGAAATTAAGAAACATTAACCGGTTATTGAAAATAGACATTGTTGTTGTTTTATCATCACATTGGTAGGACTAAATTCAGCAGTCAAAGGATAATCATCTTCCAGTGAGACGCTTAACACTGTAAAAGAAAGACCAGTTTTCCATCCTATGCACGGTCTTTCAGTTGTTGAAAATCTTTCAGTATGAAACATGGTCGATATTCATCTGACCACGATGGCCTAGAAATGGAAAGACTAATGTTTTTAGTTCTTCTACAGATTAAACTTGCACATTCACAGACCCAGATGAATTTTAAATTTATATACAAATCATAATTACAAGCACTGCAATTTGTCAGAAAAAACTTTAAAACTACAGTATTTACAATTACTGTTGTGAATGGATAACTTTGTAATATTGCAGTATTAACTGAACAAGCAAGTTAACTGAATTATTAACTGAATGGATTGAACAATCAATTTACTGCATCACTCCGAGACCTGGAGCTCAATTTCAGGTCTGCAAGTGCACAAAGCATGGTTCTTGTGGTCAACGTATTCTCCAAAAGATCATTTTTTATTGACGGCAATCAATAGCTCTCCCAATTACTTGAGAGCAGTATGCCCACATAAGTCGTAGGTCATCAAACAACACAGAATCTGCTTAAGGTAAAACAGAGAAGAAATTATTGAAAACAGGTGAATAATATACAAAAAAGCGAATGAAATGTTGACAATACGATGTGAAGAAAAGGCAAAGATAAAAGAAGGTGGAAAAATTATAGGAGAGAACATAACAAACTTGCAATACTAGTCAGCTTTTAAGAAACTGGAAAAACTTCAGGCCTTACACTGAAAGTCTAGAAACAAAATTACAAACAAAATAAATGATGAGGGGTGGAGTTCACTGTTTGTTTGTCCTTTTTTAACCAATCTCCTACCAAAACAGGAGTCAATGAAGCTCTCAGTATGGATAAAGAGGAGGTTGTCTGGTAAAAAGCAAACATAATGGATCTTTCGTATGATGAACACTTCCGTTTTACTGCAGTAACTTCTTTATCATTTGGAATTGTGTCTTCCTTCCATCTTGTTGTTCTATTCCTTTATTACTGTGCACAGGTGCTAATAAAGATAAGCAGCCCTTAGTGTTTAAAAATGAACACTGGTTGCACGTCTGTGATGGCATTTGAGTAAGAAACCTCAGCTGACTCCAGCAGTTGTTTTGAGGAAGACAGGAAACGATGACGGTAACTATTCTTTTTGTCCATTCCTTCTTCCTTGTACGTGAAGGAGTCATAACCGTAAACAAGCCAGATACATAAACTATTACTACATATCCAATTTCCACCTCTATCAAGCTGCATTTTCTGCCTAATCTGCTAGCAGCCAGGCAGCAGCTGTACATGATGTTATGTCCCAGCATCTTATTTAACTCTCATCACAGCAGATTCAATCATTTTCTCTCTTACTGAAAGAGGAGGGAGGAATGGCACACGTAGCCTTTACACTGAATGGATCATTTCTCATGAGACGGACTTACAAACTGAAATCAGGGCTGCAACACGGCAGGGATGACTCCTTAAACACCATCTTCCCTCTCCCCCTTGTCCCTAACGTGGGCTCCCAGCCCAGCAAGTCCCCTGCCGTGAAGGGGCAGGAGGAGGAGAAGGGGATTTCAGGAGACGTGGGTGGCGGGCAGGGGTCCTCTCCCTCTCACTCAGGAGAACGTGGCCATCCTTGATGGCTCAGTGCTGTCCGAGTCTGTGCTGGCACTGCCTTTCACTAACCACTGGGGACCCAATCCCACAGAAATGGTGCCATTTGCCTGCGTCTCCTCAGCAGATCAGTTTGGCTACGGAAAGCAGCAGTCTAGGAAGAAGACATGAGAGAGAGAAACAGGCTGAGCCACAGCCTCTAAAGATCACAGTAAAAGTCCTCCCCAGCGTCATTTTCCAGCCTTCCTCTTTCCACAAAACAAACGCTGCGCAAAGGGTCAAAAATCGAAGCTCGTTAACGCCCCCTGTCAAGCTAACCCCTTCTGTGTACACTCACCTCCTCCTGTAACCCAACCCTTTCTCACTGCTTCTGCTCCAGAAGCCACCACTATGCCCTACCTACTCCAGAAGCTATTACTATGTCAAAAAGGCTTTTTTAATTTAAGGGGAAGAACAGTTCCATAGGAATGGATCATTTGCAAATAATAAACAGCAATAACAGTTACCACAGTTAGCTGATACTGTGTAGGTGGTCATACAGTCAAAATAAACAAAAACTCTGCAGAAAGTCCCAAGTAAGGTGTTATTCACGACTGCAAAAACATGCCTGTGGCAAGAAAAGGCATTGCTTGCAGGAAAAGAGTATACATAAAAACGCTTTATTTGTCATTAAATTTAGCTGCTGGAAATCAGAGCCTCCAGTTCTCTTTTGAGTACTTGTATATACTCGGGAGATCGCTGGAAGAAAACCTGGTAAGATATATCACACAGTGATTTTTCTACTCTGCAGCCAGATAACAGTTTATGCAGCTGTGATACTGATGTGTTAGCAGAAAGAATAAAATTTTGCTTGCAAAAAACTTCAGGTATTAAATTTTGATTCCATTGTCATTTGTGCTGGTTTTCAAAATCACATCCTCCCAGAAAGGGCAGAGGGGATTCATTCGAATAAAGCAAAAGCAAGTAAGCATTTGCTTTTTCAGAAAGTTTCAGAATTCAAAGAACTGCTTATATTTTAAGATTTCAAAGTGTATTATCCCCAGAAAGTTAACAAAAAGCCACTTTTTATCACTCCGAGCTAAGCTAGTCTTTGAATGGAAGGCAAAACCTCCCACTCTGGCAGCGGTGGCCAGCAGAATATGAGGGCGCTGACTGCGTGAAGAGCATCATGCAGGTGGACCTCCTCACCTAAGTGGAGCCTCGTTACAGACAACACGATTTTATGCTGATATGGTTCTCTCTGAGGAAGTGTGGTCCAAAGTTATTGATTTTTCATGACTACTGTTACATTGGCACATGTAACAGTAGTTTGCTAATAATAGTTCTACTGTATGAAACTACTAGCCTAAGAAATTCATAGTCCTGTTTCTTGCAACGATTCTTACAGTTCAGACTTTTTTTTTTTTAAACAATGCAGTACGTTCCAATATCCAGCGGTATTGTTACTATCTCAAATAATGACTGTCAGCTTGGGTGCCTGCAGCTAAAGAGGGAAGAAGAATGTGCAAAGTAACAGCAAATAGCTTCAACTGACTGGAAAAGTCAAGTAAAGATCCAGTACACCTACAAAGGACAAAGAGAAAACCAACAGCGGCATTTCTTAACAATGCTCTTTCCTCTTTCCACATTGAACAATAGATGTTCTTTTGGTATTAGGAAACAGGACAGACAAAGCCTGGTATTTCACATGACCACTAAATGAAATGTGTTTGATCAAAACACTTAAGCTTCAACTCCTTCCATCGGTATTCAACCCTGCCTCCCTTCTTTCCTGCAGGCCTGCACTTTAACCCCTCTCGCTTATCATCCTAGTGTGGTTTCATTGCTCGCATGCTTGATAGAAGCCGTTCCCAAGTCCTCCTCAAAGTGAAGCTGTAATTATCTATTCACAGGACAGTGGTTTTATAAAGCTGAAGCCTCCATTTGTGATCAAAACATAGATACAATCATCTGTTTTATTATATTACCTACAATACCTACATCACTCTAATTAGTCAGGATTTGTTATCCACTGGGACCTAGCTGCAGGATATTTGCAGAGAGCGCCTGCTAAATCGCATTTGTAATTCAACAGGAAAAAAAAGAGCAGCAAAGTTGTAGGGAATGAAAAACCCTGACAAGATGATCACAGAAGAAGCCCATTGCATCCAACACCATCACCTTTGCCCTCAGTCAGCCTCCTAAACCACGCACTATAGCTACACAGCATTTCTTCATTATTCCCTTTCCTTTCTTCTTCAGTTCAGAACTCATCTGCAGAAGAGGGAAATTAAGCAGTCTTTACTTCATCTCCCATTAGCAACTCCAGCACAGATTTCAGGCATGACAGATGCGGGGACAAAGTATCTCAGAAGGGTTTCACTTTGCTGTTAAATACCATAGTTGTTTGAACTACTAAAGACTCTCAAGCACTAGCACCTGGATTTACTTCAGAGGGGCACACTTAGTGATAAGTCACTGCCTAGCTTTGCTGAACTTGAAAGTCTGCTTCACTACTCTAGCTCCGGGTTGAAACAGCTGACGTTGACTGCCGTTTGCAAAAACCAGGGATGGGAGGGATTAAAATATTCAGCTTTGGACATTTTCCACTGTGCTGAGATTTTACTACCTATATATTATATAGAGCACCAAGTGGGCATATAAATAACACTAAAGAACATGGTAGTCCACCATGGGGACATAAGGAGCATTTCACACTGTGCAAATATTCAAAAAGTCACCTGATGTGCCTGTGCTGCTGCCTTTTCGCATCCTCTCCCAGCCTGTTTAAGGATGGCGACCGGCTCCGAGAGGACGGGGTGTAACTCCCAACGGTTTTTACAGTTCCATTAGGATTATTCTGCATCTGTTGAAGTAGATGAGGTGAAAGGCTGCGGTGGGAAGAAGTAGAAGAGGAGGCTGACCAGTCGGGGAGGTTGTTGATGTTGAGATTGTTATCGCTGTTGGAGCGGAGCAAGACGCGAGGTGCTGCCAAGGTGCTTGGGGGCCTCCGCCTTCTGTTTGAATAGGTAGGAGCCTCTCTGAAGGGCACTGCGTAAAGAAAAACATCCAGGGTAATCACAGATGATTTTACCATTTCTATGCGTTTATCACCCCATAAAAAGATTTAGCAACATATGGCGTTATTTTTCCCGCAGAGAGAGAGACAGAAACTCTACCTTGCCTGCACAGTTAGTCAAATTCTTTATCTTTAAAACATCACTAAAACTGAAAACAACAGGGCAACGTTAAACTGTTTCCTGGCTTCAATGAAATGTTAGGCAACATCAGCAGCATGAGCCTGCTGAAGAGTCTGAACTAGGGTCTAGGAAAAGGGAAACACCTATTTCTTGCCAAATGGGAGTCTCACAGTGCTTGACTTCTGTTAAGATTTCCTCTTATCCAACCAGAAAGTTACAGAAGGGGGCTGACCCGCAGAATTTCTGATGCGTGCTCCAGGTTCCTCCTCTGTTGGCATCCAAACCGGCAGAATTTTGTTCCATTGCAAGTTCAGGCCTAACTTGAAATCTCTAATGTTAACAGTCACCTTATCCGCTTCTTCCAGGTTAAAAATCGAGGACACAGATTCTTCTCCTGGTAGAACTCTATTACGCTGCTAAAATCCCTTGGTATTTCTCTCCTTCTAATCTAGGCGTGTCTACTGCAGCTATGGCTATTGTATATAGAACATACTACCCAAGGGTAATCCACTCGCTTCATCCTGTGCTGTGTCCCACAGAGAACATGACTGCATCTGAAGGCTGTAATATACAAGTTAATGAAATAGACGCAACAGAAAACAAAAGCGAGGGCAATAAAAATCTAATATAAACCAGAGGACTCATCCTTCCCTCAGTGTTACTGGTACAGTGCTGCACCTATTGGAGAATATCTAGAAACAGACACTATGTTTTCCGAATCTGCATTTCTCACTGTAGAGGGTCACTTAGTTCCAACAACAACTTAAAAAGAAAATTTCCTAATAATAGGCAGCCAACTCACACTAGCTGTGATGACACTTCCTACTCATTTTATAAGGTAAGAAAGGACCTGACCCTGAAAACTCATGTTTACCTCAGTCGCCACTCATGCAAGTGCTCTCATGAATTTCAGTGGAACTCATGGTGTTGCGGGACTGGATCCAAGGGGCACCATATTTACATTTGCAAAGTGCTAGTAGTATTACTAAGAAAAGACAGCCAGGCATTATTCTGAGGACTTTATCAAGCTGTTGAAATTTTCAAAAACCGTATTTCAGTAGGGAAATAACCCCCGCAAAATATTAACCCACATGCCTGAAGTGCCATTAGGAGCCACTTATAAAGCGACATAAATGTCTACACATTCAATACTGTTCAAAAACAAAAAAGTGAAACTGAAATAAAACACGTCCATCATACTGCGCAAGCAAATAAATTCATATAAATACAAATATACTTAGGAAGCGCTCTGTCCTGCCTTGAAATATAGTCTTTTATTGGGTGAACACAGCAAAATTTAAGATCCCAGAGCAAAACTGAAACATGATATAAAACAAAGAGGTAACTGCAAGGAAAATAATGGTTTATAGCATTTTCACCAGAATCAATTTATGATTAACTGTGAATATCTTAAAATGACATCTTCATATTCCCAATGAATCAAAACTTTTTCTGAGGTTACACTTTCTCTAGTTAATAGCTCAACAGCATCAGAACAACAAACAAAAGAGGACAGCACGCATAGAGAAGAAGAGCTATAATAGTCCAGTTCTATAATACTCCATTTGAAACACAGCTGAAATCGTCTTTAGGAAGCTGTCTTTAAATCTGTCAAAAGGTTAAGACTTAGGAGTATAACATTTACGCTAGAAAGTGCCAGAAACTCTGTACAATTTTCAGGATACTCTAATTTTACACATTTCATACTTTTTTTAAGCTTTCCCCAGAGGCAAGTATAGCAATGAAAGCGCCTTAGTGCTTCAAATGTCATGGTGAAAGCCACAGTTAATTCTAACTTAAAGAAAACTCACAGCACATGTTTCCCAAATTAACATATCCAGACCCTCTCCATTTATATACGTGACCTAGATGTGCTGTTTGTGTATTCCTGTATTTCTGACGTTTACAATACGGCTCTAGAAATGATTCAGTTGAAGACAGGGATGTCTCCCAGGTACAATACAGCAAAATAGTTACTGTAACCTTTGTAATAAAGAAGAGGACATACAGAACAGAACTGTAGACACAGGCTTGCTACCCGAAAGGCTCATCTTGTCCTCTAGGGTCACGGGAGTTTGCCTCAGACCTCAGCAAAAACTGGATCTGACCCTTCCGTTTTAATTTTTCATGAGCTTAAAATTGTGACCGTTCAAAGCCAGACTCTCAGGCCTTCAACGCACAGATTTAGAAAAGCAAACAGCAGCAAGATTTGTGGAACGTTTCCTGTGAGATCTGAGAGGTTGTGGGCAATCTTTCGGCGGGAGTGGGAGGGAGCAGGAGGGGCACATTGCTCAGATGTGCTGACACGATGGACAGAGAATTGCTGGGCACATTTATACGGACAGATTTTAGAAAACACAAAACTGCCCATTCACTCCTAGTGAAAGATAGTACATCCATGTGTATGTATACACACTTTCCCTGTATCAGCTTAAATCCATTCTTTGTCCATTACACATCTGAAAAGGATTTTAAAGACTCATTTAGGAGTTAGCTCTTGATTTGCGATTAATACGCTACTCTTAACAGGAGAGAACTACAAGCAAAATTAGCTTTCTCTATACAAAAACAAGCAACAAAGGGAGACAGCTAATCGCACAAATTCACGGGTGTCTAACACAAGTCTTTTATAGAAAGAGTTAAAAATAAGTATTTCCATGCCTAAAATGATTAATATTCCACCCAACTGTTTCTTTGCCCCAGCAATCTGCAAACTGTAAGTGGGTGGATATTTTTTTAGCTGCTTCTTAGGCATTATTTATATTATTTTCCACACGCAAAAAAAATAGCCACGACACAAACTGATGAAATGTGGACGTACATGCTTTAAACTCTGTTGGATGCTGTTTTCCCCTAATACTTCACTATGCTCAAAACTCTTAAGAAGGACTGTTGCAAAACTTGTTTGGGAAAAAGAGATGACGTAAAGTGACATGAAAACATCTCAACTGATCTCATGCTTCGAAAGTTTACAGTTATCACCCCCTAAAAGCATACCTGACAGCATCACTCCATTCCTTTTCCAGCTCTCAGAACGTCTACCCCTGGTATCGCGCACACGTGAAGGGGCAACCGAGCAGCATTCCCCCATAACATTCACCTCGCAAATGGCTTCAAATACATTTCTCAGGGAACAAAACAGTTTTAAAGCTACCTGACCTTTCAGAGGAAACCCGACGTGAATTAAGTCAGTCACATCCAGCTTTAATAACGAGTTGCCCAGCTGGCCTGCCTAGCATAGGAGCACGTTCAAAAGACAGGGCAGGAAGGGGTGCAGCACAGAGAGCCGAAGCCCACCGCAGCAGCTGCACGCGAGCAAACGCCCGCCCGCAACACCGGAGCGCGCCGCTTACCTTCTTTCTTTGTGAAGGCATTTAACAGAGACTTCATTTTCCCTGTTACTTTGGCAGCGATCCCCTCATTATACCACCTTTGCCGGGAAGAAAAAGAGGAGGGAAGGAGAAGAGAGGGGGAGGGAAAAAAAAAAGGGAGAGGCTGTGAAAACATCATCCCTGGAGATATCCAAAACTTGACGGGACCCAGCCCTGAGCGAGCTGATCTCGTA